AGACTTGGCCTCGTCCACGTGTTTTGCTGCTTCAGAAGAGCCTTGGCCTCGTCCACGTGTTTTGCTGATTCAGAGGAGCCTTGCCCTCTTCCACGTGTTTTGCTGCTTCAGAGAGAGACCTTGGCCTCGTCCACGTGTTTTGCTGCTTCAGAAGGAGCCTTGGCCTCGTCCACGTGTTTTGCTGCTTCAGAAGGAGCCTTGGCCTCGTCCACGTGGCTTGAATTATTGGGTGTTGCCGTGTTGACTTTACCGATGTGTGGTGGAGGATTTGTCTTACTGTGGTTGTCAATGTTTTCTTGTGGTGTAGGCACAGTAATTTGCTTGGAAGCACCTTCATCGTCGAAGCGGTACGTCAGGTGGCAAGGGGAGCCTGTGGCAAGGCACGATCGTAGCAGTTTGTTGACGGCGTCCTCGTCCCGCAGAAGACGCTGGTCGCCGATGTCGCTCCCAACGGCGTAGAGCCGGATAGCCACCGACGCCGGGGGCGGCTGTGGCACGGCGTCTCGCACAGCCATTGCCAGCGCCTCCCGCACTCCACGCCGAGGCGGAATGAACCGCTTCTCCGTCACCACGTCGCTTCCCAGGTGATATATGCGTAGGTGCACAAGGCCGTCGTCGGCGAGCATAGAGTTGGCGAGTCCACCCAAGCGGTCTTCGAGCGCAACCTTGAAGAAGACGTCGTCGCGTTGGGAGGAGGAAAAAAACTTCGCCACGTCCTTGTCCGCAAGTAGTTTTTGTAGCGCGCTCGTGCCACCGCGGCTGACGCTGACGTCGAATGCGCCGCGTTGCAGCCGCAGGTCCTGTCCCCTCAGGAGCTCCACCACCTCGCGGAGGGTGCGGGGCGCTCGCTCGACGTTAAACGTCCTTCGCGTGCATTCGCCTCCCCCGCTCTGTACCTCAAGTGTGCAAAGAAGTGTTCTGCCACCCATCGCACCCCCATACAAACACTGAAATCCCTAATATCAACGGAAGAGAGGGCCTTCGACGCAAGCGCACTGCCTCTTCCCTTTTTGCTGCTGGTTCCTCTACCTTGGGGGAGAAACAGACGGGGAGAGGGTTGCGGGGTGAAGCTGCCGGTGGGGGGGAGAAGAGACGGGACAACGCAGGGCAGGGCAGGACAGGACAGACACGACACCGAAGCTCGCCCCTGACAAGAACAGAGAGAACTGCATCGGTAGGCAGCGGATGCCGCAGAACGAGCGGAATGGAAAACGCAGGCGCCACACGCCGCGATTATGTGCCCGGGCGGCGGCTGCGAAGAGGCACACTCGCGCCAACCAGTGGACGTGGAAATGCCGTTCAAAAACGGGATGCAAGAGGTGCATCTGCCCGAACGGTCAAGAAAAAAAAAAGGTTCAAGGGGCGGAGTGGACTACACCAGGCGATGGGGCTGAGTTTTCTCCCGCAGTGGCCGCGCTAGAGTAGGCCCCACGGCACGGTGGCGGAGTTGGCGCAGGAGTCCTCGCGCTTCGTGGAGCCCAACGGCCCTCGCCCTTGGAGGCCACGGCCGCGCCGATTGAAGGCAGAGAATAAAAAAAAGGCGAGAAAAGGGCGGCAACATGACGATCGGCGCAGCGTTTTGGCGTACTCTCCCACCCACCCCGCGCGTGCAGGAGTCGGGTGTCGCCAGGCGGCAGCGCCACTACGCCGCGTCCTTCGCGCGTTGCCGCGTGTAGTCACGCTTGAGCCCAACCAGAAACGCATGCTGCGTCTCGACACGGCCGCAGAGCCACTCGTAGAGAGACGAAACCGCATGCGGCCCGTCCCCGTCGACATCCGCGTGTTGTAGCATGTTGCTCAACCTGTCAAGCACAAAGTCCTGCGTCTCGATGAAGCTGGCGAAGGCCCGTCTGGCGAGCTGCTCCTTCACCTCGAAGGTGTGAAGCTCGGCATGCAGAGATTTGTTCTCCTTCGCCGTGTGTAGCGACTCCTGTCTCCCACGCATGAGGGTCTCCAGCTTCGCCTGCAGCGTATCGATCGTGTGATGGGCCTCATGAAGACTCGCCTCCATTTCGGAGAAACGTGCTGCCTCCGCCGTCTTCACCGCCGCGGCCTTCTTCGCCGTCGCCAGTAGCCGCTCTAGCGACAGGAGACGCTCCTCGTACGCCTCCTGCTGACGCGTAGACTGCGTCAGCTGCCGCTGCAGCTCGCGCTTCTCGTCATACACCTCGGCAAGCTGCGCCTCGCTGCGCTCCCGGCGTTGTCGCTCCAGCCGGAGGTCCTCCTCCAGCCGCCGCGCAGCTGCGCCGTCCCCCGCCCCCGCAGGAGGCGAAACCATGGCGCTGGTGTCCTGTGCGGAGCCACTGCGTGCTCGTGAGGAGGTTCGGTGGTTGCGCTCGCTCGACGACATGGCCGTCGATGCCGCAAGCGAGTCGTCACGCATGCGCCGCGCGAGGGCCCTAACGGTGTCCACCACGTCCTCGAGGGTGTCGCATGCCTCGCCCGGCTGCAGCTCCTGGCGGAGCTCCGCAAGGCACCGCTGCACCTGCGCCTGCAGCCCCCGATGCCGGCGATGCTCCTGCAGCAGAAGCTGAATGTCCTCCAGAAAGCTCCGTGCACGCACCCCGGCGTCCGCGAGCGACCGTCGCACCATCCGCCGGCCCACGACGAGCGACGCCAGGGCAGGTGGAAGCTGCCGTGCCGTCGGATAGTCTTCGCCGAGCTGCTGCAGCGCCACGTCAAGGTGTGGCGGCGTTGTCATGTTGGCCACCGTCTCGTGTCCCCCCTCCCCCTCTTCCATCGCGTGTCTCGACGGCTCCGCCTCCTCGTCAGCAGCCTCGGTCTGCGCCAGCTGCAAGCAGAGGTGCGAGACAAGCGCCTCAAGCACGTGGAGGCGTTCAACGTCGCTCAGCCGCACGATGCACCCGCCGCGGTCCAGAGACAGCAGCTTCTCCGCACGCAAGAGCGGCTCCTTCACGGTGAACCACGTCACTGCCCCCGAGTTCGTGCAAGTGGCCCAGAGAACGGTGTCGACGCAGCTTGGGCCGCTGTGCAGGGTTGAAACCGCGTCGCCAGGGAACTGGAAGGAACCCTGCAACGTCCATGCCGCTGCATCCCACACGAGCGCCTGTCCGTCCGCCGCGTAGCTCCAGACGTGGCGTCCCAGCGACATCACGAGTAGACTCTGTACGGACGCTGCATCACGGTGTGCCTGCCACACATGCCGCGGCGACCCATCACTCGCACCTGGCTTTAGGGCGAAGGCAACGATGTAGCCCATCACCGTCCCAACCCAGAGCTGACCCCCACTGAGCAGTATGCTACACGACGGCGCCCCATAGTCGTCCACGGAGTAGGCCGGCATGCCGAACGAGAGAGTCTCGTCGAATCCTTTTCGCCAGTTCCACACGTCCACATCCCCACGCTGCGTGATGGTTAGAATGCGCTCGCAGCCCCCGTCTAGTATCACGCTCTGCAGGCAACCGCGAATGCGAAAGAGGCCCGTGGCCCTCACCTCCTCCGCCTCGTCCTCGCCCTCCCACTCGACGAACACCACCTCACTAAATGTCCCATCAAACGATGAGACCAGCACCCCGGGGCCATTCTCCGCCGCCGCACCCGCCTCATCCACCGACACGGGCGCCACGGCTGTCAGCGGCGTACTGAGGTCGCACTGACGGAGCCCACCCACGGGGCCCGCAGGGTCCGCCAGCACGAGCCGGCCCTCTGCTGTCGCAATACACGCCACCGCGGGGCTCGCAGGGCGGGTAGTCAGAAATACAACACCAACAACGTGATCCCCCTCGCCGCACTCGAAGCGAGGCACGGCAGAGGACTCGGACGCCGCCACGCCCAAAAACGACGCACCAGACAACGCGGACGCCGAGGCGATTGCGTCGGCAACCGCGGAAGCCGAGAAGTGGAAGACACGCGTTCCTGAGGCGTCAACCGCCCAAACGGCGCCGCTCGGGTCGCAATAAACGGCAGAGATGGGCGTAACGTTGGCATCGAGAAGTTCGCCCCCCAACGTACACTGCGGGGAGGTAAACATTCCCGCTCACAACCCCGTCCTCGCTATCTATCTAACTACACGCGGTGCCGCAGCTGCCGGTGCCGCCCCCCTCCTCCTCTCAACACCTCGCGGCGGAGGTGATGGCAGAGCAACAACCGTCATATCAAATACAATTAAATAACAATAGCAAGAAACAGAGCACCGAATAACAACAAAGAAAACACACACGTAAAAACTCGTTGCCGGGTATTATTGAAAGGCCCTCGCAGCACCGCGCACGAGCATAGGCGCGATGCAGACACACACGCACACACACGCTTGGCGCGGGGGATACTGATGGAGGGAATGCGTCAAAGGAAGAGCGAAAGGGCCCAAGACGTCAGAAATGAAACATGGTTGGCGGGTGAAGCGGGGTTAGCTGCCACCCCGAAGCCAACGTCTTCTCTTTTGGGCCGCGAACGTACATTAACGGCAGAAACTCATCAAAGCGGAGCGTCATGGTGTCATCAAGCCCTAAATAGCTGTACATATTGACGCGTTCCAGCGGCGTCGGTGGCTCACCGTAAAGACGTGCAAACATGGCGGCAAGTTCACGCACCTCCACAAACCCCTCGACCCCTGCCGCAGGCTCGAGGTTGAACTCCAAAAAGACACGCTGAATCTTTTTAACGAGATCCGCGTCATATAAGCTACCATCCATTCGCAGCGTTATAACGAAGGCCTCCCACGGGATGCGGTCCTGTGGTAGGCCCCGGCGGAGCTTCTCGTAGAAGTCATCTGTGTAGTTGTCGATGTCTCGCTCCTGGCCTAGAATGCGCAGACGCTCGCGGAACCCATCCGCGAGAACGGAGGCGGGAACAGTGCCGTTCTCCTGCCTTTCCATAAAAAAACGTTTCAGCGTACGCAGGTGAATGACGGCGGGGTGAGTTGGGGGCTTTGGCATTCGCCCCGATGCTTGGGCGGCAAGGACGCAGTTGCGCCGCGTCTGCTCGAACACCGCCTCTGCCACGCGTGTCGGGATCGCCGTGGAGCGCGTGCCCACCTCCTTTATGTTTGCGTTGCGCACCACCAGCTCCGTCAGGTAGGTGCCGCCGGTCCACGAGATAAACTCGTTGCAGGCGAGCTCAATGCGCTCCAGCGCCGGGTGAAACATTGCCATCCGCGTGATAAAATAGACCGAGTCGTTCGTCAGGTAGTTGTTGGCGCAGTTCAGCGACGCTAGCGCCGGGATCCGCTTGCACATCTCCACCACCGGCCGGATACCCTTCGGGCCCACGTAGAGGCGCGAAAAGTTCAGCGTCGTCGTCGCGTTCCAGTTGCCCACGACGCTGGAAAACATGGCGGCGACGGCGCGGATGGGGTGGCACTGGTGGCGCTGGCACAACTCCGCGTACGCCTCGGCGGGCGAGATGGCGTGAAACTCCGACTGCAGCTGCTGGACGTTGTACGGCTGCCCCGCGGTGGTGTACAAGTCGACCTCCACCTCCTTTTCCGGGTCCGGCGTCGCGCGCATTGCTGGCTGTCGCCCCCGCCCTGGTGCAGCCGGCGAGAAGTAGTGGCGCGCCGCGCAGTGACGGAGGACGCAAACGAAGCAGACAAGAAAAAAATCGGGCGGAGGCCAGCGAGGGAGAAGTGGAGCACAACGGCAAAGCACAGAAGTGCCAACTCGGGCAGCAAGAGAAAGGGTTCCCCGCCCACGCACACAAAGAGGAAGTAAGCGGTGGAAGGCCGCTGTGAGCAAACAAATAAGCACAAAAAGGAAAAAAAGTAAAATATATGTACAACGCAAAAGCATTAAGAGAGGCAGAAGCAACAACTTCACCCAAACGCAGCGATAGACCTTCCGAGGTGGAAAACGAAACAAACACACACAGACATGCGGAAACATATAAACATATATATAACTAAGCACGATAACACAATCTACTGCAGTTGCTGCCTCAGCTGCACATGATGAAACGACACGGCATAAAATAAAAGGGGGCGAAGTGGCGTGGAAGAGAGCAAGCAAGACGCCAGTAAAAACGAGAAGCAGAAAATAATAATAATAATGACGAAGGAAGGGAAGAAACAAAAAAAAAAAGGACTCGGTCCTCAGCGAGGTAAAGATTGGGCAGCCCCCGGAACCCGGTGGGCCGCGGCGGCCAGAGGCACGCCACACCCTCCCTCTTTAGTCTGCCCAGGCCGCAACGGCGTGAGGGCGGAGGTGTGTGTTTGGTTTGACTGCAGGAACTGCTTAAACAGCACCCGTTTGATGTACGCGACGAGGGCGTCGCGGGCAGCGGCGGTCTCCGTGCAGCAGAACAGCGAGCCTGTCTCGTGAACGATAACAAAGGCATTTTTCGCCACACCCGTCGGCGGCTTTATGGCGAGTTGGTTGACGAGGTAGACGTCCCTCGCCGTTGCCAGGCTCCACGTAAACTGCTGCTGTTCGCCCTCGGTGGAGTGCACGACGACGTCACCCGCCAAGACCCAAACGGAGCGAACAAACGTACTGCAGCCGCCGCGACAGCACCAAACCTTCGTCGCACGGGGCGCGCTGCCAGGCCTGCAAATCGCACCACCAGCGCCAGCAGCAGCAGCAGTAATTTTGTCTTCATTTTTGTCCTTTGGTGCCTCCGTCATTTCCGCGACGGCGTCTCTCGCCACCGCCGGTGGCTCTCGCTTGACGCCGAGGCGGAACATCTTAACCAGCGCATGGGCGTGCAGCACACGCTGGGGGCACAGCAGCAGCAGAACAGGGTTGGCGCCAACGGAGAGCTGCAGGTACAACCCGTTCTTGGCGCACGGGCGTGGGGCCTGCGTCGCAAGCATCGACGACAGCCGGCATTTGATCACATGACCGGCGGCAATCGTGAGCTCCGCTGCCCGCGCATTCGGCCGCCGGATCACCAGCCGGGCGCCGTCCTCCAGCACAACCCACACACGCCGCCAGTCCTCCACAACGCACGGCTTCACGCAGCGGTAGGCCCAAAAACCCACGCGAAGCTCCTGCGAAGGCGTGAGGGACGTCGGTCTCTCCCGGCGCTTCGCCGCCGACGTAAATCGCCGCATCCTGCCCACAACCTCCGCCTCGCTCTGACAGGCGCGGGTGAGCAGCTGGCGGAACTCCTCGAAGGAGACAAGTTCGGTCCTCGGCCCCGCCAACATCTCCACACCAATGGCCTGAAAAAAGAGAAGCCGACACGCTGACGCCGCAATTACCGCCTCGCCCTTCACATCCGTCGTGCCCAACGCCGTAAAGAAACGCGCCACCACCTCTGCACTCGTCTCCGACACAAACGGAAAGGGCGGATGGTCGAAAGTGGGGATGCCCAGTGCCTCCTCTGCGTAAATAGAAAGACGAATAGACAACTCCTTAAAAGCCAAGGAGACCAATTGCTCCTGCCGTTCCAAGTCAAGACGTCTCTCAGCCTCGGCATCCACGCACAGGGTCATAAATACAGCGTTAACGGCCTCCACAAGTTCCAGTCGGCTCACGGATTCCTCGTCTACAGTCGTGACTAGCTCGGCCTGAAGCACCGTTTGGGGTGAAATTCCCGCCGTTACTGAAAGGCCTGGTGACACACGTCCACTGAGAGAAGAGGGTGTCATAGCAGAGACACCGCCGTGCAGGTACTTTCGCTCCAAGGCGGCAATCAGTGCCTCCTCCTGTCCCTGATACTTCTCCAGTTGCGCATCCACGTTGGCCAGCTTGCTCGGGGCATACTGTTCGTAGATGGACACAACACGGCTGCGATAGTCCGGTGAAACGCTCCCGGTCACTGAGGGCTCAGGACCGTACTTATTGACAAGGGCGGCAAGCAGTGCCTCCTCCTGCCCCCGATACCTCTCCCAGCTGCGCATCCACGTTGCCAGCTTGCTGGGGGCATACAGAGTGTACAGCGCCACAAG